ATTATGAGCACAATTACCCTCATTTTGATTGGGATCCTTCAGACATATGACAAACAGTGTCTGTCGGTTCCAAATGGCCTTAACCTTCTCCTGGGGCTGTATTCTAACGCCTTTCCATTCAATTCAAACGTTTGTTAATATAATTGTAATGAATATAAAGATCAATAAAAATGAACACTTACTCCAAACCAATGATTGTAACGAAGAAATAATCATAAAAATGAGACAAAAAATAGCGTTTGTTCGCGAATTATGGCTAAAACTGACTATCGATCTAAACTTCATAATTGTTGAGCAAATTTGTATTATTATTGTTACGGATGAATAGGTGAAGAAATAATCATAAAAATGAGACAAAAAATAGCGTTTGTTCGCGAATTATGGCTAAAACTGACTATCGATCTAAACTTCATAATTGTTGAGCAAATTTGTATTATTATTGTTACGGATGAATAGGATTACACTCTGGAGAATGAAGTTTCGCCCAAATGTCTCGCAATTCAATGTTTAATAAATTATTTGTTGGAAACAATTTATACCATTAATTGAGAGGAACTGAAAACAAAAGAGACAAATATTTGAATGTAAGCCAAGTATATGAAGAATTATAGATATGAATAGCAATTATTGAATCCAATTCTTAATACGAATTATGTTTCCAATAATACACTTATCAATTGGACTATACTATGAATGTTTGCAAATGTTTTGAGTTAACAGTAATTGAGAACTGAATACATTTTGCGCAAACCATAAGCTTCTGAATGCAATGAATCAAGAATTGGACTCAAATTCATGTAATACTCAAACAAACTCACAGTCAATGGATTTGTAATTAATAATTGTATCGATTTGTGTTCACTATTATTGAGTATTTATTTATTTACTTGAGTTGTGCTCACAATTGAATCTTCGAAGCACTGAATGTGTGCCACAAATCAGTTACTCCTCTATCTCTCTATTCCTCTCTATAGTACTCTATGACACACACTATGACAGCGGTTCTCTCCCTTTCCACTAAACGCCCAGTCCTTCCATTCCCTACCGTTCCCTACCGTTCCCTGCATTAGCGTATTATTCCTATTGTTTTGTTTTATATACTCTCTCCAAATGACATCAACTACCTTTTGTCTCGCAATTTATTACATGTAATCACCCAATGAATGCATTTCTAGTCATTCAATAAATTTTTATTAGTTTTTAAACTCAATTCTTTATGACATAAAACACTTTTTTCATTAAAATCTGAATTTTTTTTGAAACTTTTAATGAATTTTAAAAATTCTTATCGATGATTATACATTCAATTATCCTATAAACCAATTGTAAGCTCTTTGTCAGCGATTTCCTAATAATTAATAATAATGTATAAAAACAACAAGAATTTGATGGGTTTTGGGCCAAAGACAATATGTGTATGGATTGTGTCAATGCTATACTCGGTCTCAGAATATATTCTTACAGTCAATGGGAGAGTGTTTGGCAAAGCATCCAAACGTCAATACTTTACAACTTCTATACAATTATTACACAGAAGTATAGCACAGAATAAGTGCTTAAGAATTGTATTGAATTTTCCGCAGAGATTGCGTCAAAAGTATACAATAAATTATGTTTAGTATACACTTTAGTTGAATCAATGCATGTTTACAATCAATTGCATTAAATGTGAATTAAATCTAATGAATTGAATGAATTGCCAAAAATGTAGACTTCATTCATAGAGTTTTTGATGCATTGGTGGACATTAGATGAGTGTATAATGAGTTTGACATTCGTTTCAATGGCAATATGAGTCGTAAACACTGTTTGCAGTGATGTTGTGAGTCATACGCAGACACTCATAGACTTAACGTTAGGCCGTATTGTTGGATACGATTCGCACATACAGTGTATGATTGACTGTATGTCATGTTATTTATAGTTTGTTTGCATTCATATGAATGCCATTAGTATTAGGATAGCGTTCACCAGAAAACCAAAGTTTACGTCAAAACACAAATGATTTGATTATTAATTGAGTGGACATTCACTTAGTCTTACATTTGTTACACGTTTTAGACATTCATTGAAACTTCTGTTGGATCCATGTCTTCAGATTGAGACCATTTTGAGCACTAAATTGTTGTCAATTGTGGTTATAATGCGTTTGTATGTGAACTGCATTTGAATCAGCATTTGGTGGACAATTGGCTGAAGACTCGGCATCGAAGCCATGGCTCAGGCGATGGCACAGCAGGCCTTCGATGAGATAATCGAGGAAATCGAGAGCAATAACAGCGGTCAGAGCGCAGGTGTGCCGGAAGTGGTGCACACTCTGGAGCCGATAGTGATCCGCGGCAACGGAAACATCACTCTCTTTGGTCTGTCCAACGGATTCACAGACACCTTCCCGTCGTCCCTCTTGGGTCGTGTGTCGCGCGAAGAGTTCGAGAGTACAGTCCATCGGATCAATGCCCTCCTTCGGGCCCAACACTCGACAAACGCCAAACTCCTGATCCTCGGGTGTCTGTGTTGTTGCTGTTCATTGGGCTGTTCCCTGTTGTGGCCGACCCTCGCGCTCTCCAAGAGAACCAAAAACTCGTTGGAAAAGGTATTCATCCATTGCTTCCCCTTATGTCTTATCAATTGCTTTAAAGGNATGTTTAGTAAATGATTTTATTATTACTCTATTTGATTGAATTTAAGAAATTGATAAGTGTATTATTGGAAACATAATTCGTATTAAGAATTGGATTCAATAATTGCTATTCATATCTATAATTCTTCATATACTTGGCTTACATTCAAATATTTGTCTCTTGTTTTCAGTTCCTCTCAATTAATGGTATAAATTGTTTCCAACAAATAATTTATTAAACATTGAATTGCGAGACATTTGGGCGAAACTTCATTCATTCAGAGTGTAATCCTATTCATTAGTAACAATAATAATACAAATTTGCTCAACAATTATGAAGTTTAGATCGATAGTCAGTTTTAGCTATAATTCGCGAACAAACGCTATTTTTTGTCTCATTTTTATGATTATTTCTTCATTACAATCATTGGTTTGGAGTAAGTCTTCATTTTTATTGATCTTTATATTCATTACAATTATATTAACAAACGCTTGAATTGAATGGAAAGGCGTTAGAATACAGCCCCAGGAGAAGGTTAAGGCCATTTGGAACCGACAGACACTGTTTGTCATATGTCTGAAGGATCCCAATCAAAATGAGGGTAATTGTGCTCATAATCGCTTCTGTAAGACATTGTCTCACATACTGTATATTGTGGTTAAAAGGAGTACTTAATTGGTATCACGTGGGCAGACATGAACCAATTGAGGACAACAGTGAGGCCCCTGTATACCAGCAACATGGAGCTGATTCGGTGAAACTGTCCCTGGTGAATGTTCCCAAACGAAATTCGGGATTCTATGAGTGCAGACAAACTAAGGTTTTATAATAATTGATAAACTCATTTTGCAATCTATTAAAACTGACACTTTATGTCCTAAAGGATAATAAAGTGATTTCTTCGGACAAATTTGAGCTAAAAGTTTACAATTCTATTGAAACGGAAGGTATGTATTTAAGTATAGGTTAAGAATCAAGGGTTCAATTGATTAAGAGTCGAATTAATGTGCATTTTTGATACATTACAGGAAACAAAGATGCTTATGTGGGCATAGAAGGGGAAGCCTTCACAATGTTATGCTTCTCTAAGTTTGATTCTGACCGCGAGGCCACTGACGCACAGGTCTCATGGATTCACAACAATATTCGCATTGTAGACGGTTTGTCTCAATACTCAACACTATATTGTCTATGAATTGTCCCTTAAGTCTAAAATAAAATTCAAATGCATGTCATATGAATTGCTGACTTAAAACAGAATAATGCATGAATTGTTGGCAAATAGCAATAATTGATGATAACTAATGAAATGACTTGAATTGAACCGAAGACGACAAGCACTTTACGGTTAGATCTCGAGTGGAACAGTCTGTCAGTCAGAAGACAATCCGAAGTACACTCAGCTTCAAAAGATTGACCAAAGAGAATGAAGGCGTCTATACGTGTGAATCGGTTTACGCCAACCCTTTCCTCACAGAAATGAAGAGTATAGACATTAATCTCAGAGTTCAATGTAAGCCTAACTTCTCATAATTTGTCTTATGGTTAGATTGTTATACGAATTAATTGAATTCCAGTTAGACCTCGCTTCCCAGAAAACACACCAAGAAATGTTTGGGTTTCAGATGAGACCCAATCTCCTGTCACTGTAAACGTGACATGTCTTGTGAACGCCGACCCCATCGCAGAGTTCCAATGGTTCACAGGACGTGGTGCTCCCATTGACAGAGGTAATGGTAATCGATACTTTGTTATCATTAGTTCTAACATGTAATTTGTAATTTCACTTGTTACTGTACAGTATATACAGTATATTATTGAATGTCATATAATGTAATATAATATTGAGTAATAAATTTTATTGATTTATAATGACTTTTTTCAGGCGGTCTGGATGTTAAGCACAGAATCATAAACACTGAGAATCTAAGTGTTTTGTCTCTTGAATACGAGAATATCGGCAAAATTAGGAAC